CGTTACACCTGATCCTGTGATGTGATTGGCCAATTGCAACCCGGTACTGTCACCGCCGGCGACAAATAGATTCGCCCTTTTAATTTATGCTAGAGTAAAATCGTTGTTGTCATGAAAATATTGAATGTAAAAAGAATAAAAAAGAATGTAGAGAATTTAGAACATTCCACTGGTGTATTTCTAATGTATAGATCTTCATTATGCATTAGGTATGTACGTAAGATGTATATAGTATGTATATATGTATATATGTATATACGCCCCCTTAATACAGTTATCAATAATCTAACGGTTCTAACTACTAATGGTAGTATCTCTATATCTCTAATCCTAGTGCATGCATAACTGTAATTGATTCAGATTGGCTGAACATGCATGGATTGTCACGGAACATTACATAATTTGTTGAGCAAATAGATTACAAATAGATACAAATAGATACAAATAGATACAAATAGATACAAATAGATACAAATAGATACGTCTTTTTTTTATGGTCTCTGCCCTATCCCTGCCCCCTTCCCCCCTGCATGTGATCTCAAAAAAGGAACGTAAAATTTATACGTATCTTCAACAGGTATAACAGGTATAACATATTATAACATATTATAACATATTATAACATATATAACATATATAACATATAACTGTATAACATATAACTAGGTAAGTACTTTATACTTTATACCCATTTAAACCACGTGTTCACAATCAAAAATAGATGTTTATTTTTAAGTCCCCGATCTTTTTAGTTTTAGAAATTTATTAAAAAACGCTGCATGATTGTTTATGATTATTTTGTTATAATTTATGTATTATTATATTATTGTATTTGTGTATTAACAAATTTGGTTCAATTTGAATTAATTTTATAAAGACTTTTTGTTCACCTTTTTTAATTATTAAGACTACAAAGAGCGCGAAGTCAGGGTAATATCCTGTTTTGTTACTTCAATGCTATAAAACTCAATGTATTGGTACATAGAGTTATCACTTTTCTTTAAATCTTTATTTTCTTACTGTCTATCCTTTTTAATTCTTAATCTCTTTTCAATAAAAATGTCTACTACAGCGAGAGGTATTTAAAAAAAATGTATAACCCGTTTAATTTGTATATATGTAACCTTTTTAGTTAAACTTCCCGTTCTTTACAAATACCTCTCTAGATTCGTTAGAAACGTCAAGAACAGATGTTAATGAGGAGCATGTTCCTCTTCTCAAAGCAGAAGATTTAGACGAATCAATTATCATAAGACTTAGAAATTTATTACGCAGAATGCTCCAATATCTTTATTCATTGTTCACGAAAGAACCTGTGGAAATTCCTCTTCCACCAAAACCTGCCATCTTCAAACCAAAACCAAAATTTGATAAAACAAAACTTAAAATTTTTATTGGAACATGGAACATGCATGGAAAAGTAAATACCTATATCAATTTTTTTATAAATTTTTTTTTAATATGATTTCTATATATTACCTATTCATTTTTTTATATATAATATATATTTAATCTATTTAATTTGATCTTTATTTGAATTTCTATTTCTATTTCTATTATTATTGTTAGCTTCCTCCATATAACCTTGACCCTTTTATTGAAAATGTAGATGAGAAAAAGTTTGATCACATTCGCGATGCTCCTATGCTTTCTAGAAAGGTTCAACACCCATATCATATTCTAGTAATAGGAACTCAAGAATGTCAACATAACATCCAACATTCGGTATTTTTCCCTTCAAAAGATGAATGGGAATCAAGGTTAAAAAATTATCTGGGTGATACTTATGTTCTGGTTAAAACTGAAACGATGGCTGCATTACATTTGGTATATAATTTAATAATAATTATTATTAAATGTTTTTGTTGTGTAGTAAATATGTATTTAACTATTAATTATACTATTATACTACTTAGGCTGTATTTGTTTGGCGGGAGTGCGAGGATTGGGTTTTAGGTATGTTTTTTATCCATTATTAATGCATTATAAAATTTATTGTAAAATTTATTGTAAAATTTATTGTAAAATTTATTGTAAAATTTATTGTAAATGATATTATTAACATATATATTATCTTATATATATTATCTTATATATTATCTTATATATATTATCTTATATATTATCTTATATATATTATCTTATATATTTTATCTTAAATAGATTATCAACACGATGCGGTAGCAACTGGATTGGCTAATTTGTTTGGAAATAAAGGTGGCATTGGTATTTCAATATTATTTGGGAACACTTCTCTATGTTTTATAAATAGTCATTTAGCAGGTTTGTAATTTTTTATTTCAACTTTTAATATTTATTACTTTAAAATTTCATTTATTTATTTATTTGTTTATTGGTTTTTTAATTTTAGCTCATCAAAGTAAAGTTAAGCAACGAAATCATGATGTGAAAAAAATATCCAAAGAAATGAAATTAAAAGGGTTTAAACCGGAAGATAAACGTATGTTTTTTCTTTGTGTTAATCATTGCGATTTTATTTAGAATATATACTTATTTAGAATATATCTTTCTTTTTTTTAAAGGTGAACCAAATGTTACTGATAGGTTTGATTACGTTTTTTGGTTCGGTGATATGAATTACCGTATTGACTTACCAAGAGCGGAAGTTGACCAATTAATTGCAAAAAAAGATTTGAAAGTGAGTATTTATTTTTATATTATTTCTAGTTCGTGATAAAATATGTATCAAATAATTAACCTATAATATAATGCACAATTCAAATACAATTCAAATATAATTCAAATATAATTCAAATATAATTCAAATATAATTCAAATACAATTCAAATACAATTCAAATATAATTCAAATTCAATTCAAATTCAATTCAAATACAATTCAAATACAATTCACAAATAAGACTCTCCTACAAAACGACCAATTAAAACAAGAACTTTCAAATTTTCCCCCTTTTTTTAATTTCAACGAATCTAGAATAGATTTTAATCCGACTTTTAAATTTGATATAACTCATCGTCTAAATCATAATAATGATGAATATTCTCCATTATCTCGATATTCATCTACATCTGCATTAGCCGATTCAAATTCACCAAGGTACGATTCAGGTCCAAAACAACGTGTACCAAGTTGGACTGATAGAATAATTTTTAAAACTCGTTTACCTCCACCAAAAAATGTAAAAAATAAGAGAATTGATGTTGGAAGGTATACAAGTCATATGAATGTCATAGGTTTTTCGGATCATAGACCTGTTACTGGTTGCTTTTTCGTGGACTTTGATTGGAAATTAGAAAAAGAACTATTAGAAAGACGTTTTTCATTGGAAAGGGAAAGATTAGAACAAGATCAAATGGACTCTGCTAGTACTAATAGTGATAATAGCAATAGTAATAAATCTGGTGTTAAGACAAGAGGTATTGTTGGTGGAACAAGAAGGAAAAAAAGTTTTTGGAAAGTTTTAAGAAAATCTTAATATTCTATGAACTTTCAATGTTACTTTCTATCTATGATTTTTGATGACTCCGCTCTTATTTATTTTTAATTCCCACTCCTAATTTTCATCTAATTTTTCATCTAATTTTTCATGGTAGTAGAAATGCAATACGCATATACTTTAATAAATCGTGTTAATAATGTTTACGATCCATGTAAATTCATATATGTAAATTCATATACGTATGTAAATTTCATATACGTAAATTCATATACATATGTAAATTCTCATATGTAAATTCATACATAAATTCTCATACGTACGTACGTACGTACGTACGTATGTAAATTCTCATATGTATATGTATATGCTATATTTACCTACAAATCTAATTTCATATTTTAATACAATACCAAACTCCTATAATAGTGATAGGTAATTAATTAATCGATTAAGTGTACATCGATTCTCATTTATCTGTATTACCTTTTATTTAATGTTCAATAATGATGAAACATTGTATAACGTAATATATACAAACGTAGTTTACAAATAAATTTCTGTGGGCAGTTATATGAAAATTTCTTTCAAGCAGTAGAAAAAAAAGAGTGTAAATATCGAAAGGCTCTATAAAACAATATAATTAACCGTACAAATGTTAAATATAATATAAATATCGTTCTCACTAGCAAATATCACTCGTGCATTTTTTTTGATTATAAAATGGATACAATGAAACCATTGATGCCATAAGTGTGAATATATATATATATATATATATAAATGTTTCCAAAAAAATTATTAATAAATCAAAAATAAATATATAAATAACATGTAAAACAAAACATACAAATTTGGTTTGCTTAAAAATACACAAATATTAATCCTACCCAATTTTTGTTCTCTTAAAATCACCACTTATATCATTTTCATTTATATCATTTCCATTACATTTATCATCATCTGTTATATGTGGTGATATCGTACGTTTAGCGCTGGTATTTATTGAATCTGAGGGATATGTAGGAGGTTGACCCCATCCACTAGACGTATCTATTGCATTATCATCTTCATTATCTTCATTCCAATCGTCTTTTAAACTTCCCCAGGTTGATAATTCATCTCGAGGGATTGAGAAAGGTTCATTATATTCAAATTCTATCTCTTCAACAATATTATCATAAGTTTCATCCTTTATTCCTGAATAAAAGAAATTTATTTTACGGTAAATAGATTAAAAAGACCTGTATACATACAATATCTTGAAGATATATTCATGCATACCATCGACTGAAATGTTATCACTGTCTTGAGGTTCAATTTCATTTTCATCCTCTTCTTCTGCTTTTATTATTTCTTGTATCCAATCACCAAATGACCGGATATAAATTTCTCCCATTTCCTTTGTAATTCCTTTTTCTTGTGCCAGACTATATTTTTTACCACCTTCTAGAAACTCTGAAAACATTTTTGACTGACCCAAGATTCCATTTGGAACTTTATTTACTTTCTTATCGCTTTTAACAGTAAGCCAACAATGTGTATCATCAATCCATTGAAAAAATATATCTCCATATTCTTCGAAAAGGGCGTTCATTGTCGCTTTGGAACAAGATACTGGAATTTTTGATAACAAGAATCCATTCGTTTTTGTTGGAGGATCTAATCACAGGCAAAAATAGTAAGTATATTTATTTACTAACGTAAAAAAAAAACTTATATTCATTTACTAACGTAAAAAAAACTTATATTTATTTATTAACGTAAAAAAAACATAAGTGGATAAAAACAATATCATCACTTACATCCGTCCTCGCCATCCAAATTTATATACTTGAAATCTGATCTCAATAAATGCAATTTATTAAAATAACGCGTCAATTTTTCTGTTGACATCATATATTGAAATAAATTCATTTCATTTTCTTCGGTTTGCTCTGGATCTGTTTCCATATCTTCATTTGGCAGTTCATTTGGCAGTCCATTTGTCGGACCATCGCCCAATACATTAGCATAAACATCAATCTTCTCCTCTAATCACATATCAATAAAGGGACTTGTTATAATATTTGTTAAATAATGACGATAATATTTGACGATAATATTGACGATAATGAAGTACATATTGTACCTTTTTCGTGGAGAATAAATACTGCAATTCTGATAAAGTTATACCCAGTAATATACGCGTCGTAACCGGCCTCGTGATTTTTATTTTCATCATTAAACGTATATTGAGTGAATCTAGGATCCAGAACTGTATATAAGAGATATTTGCTCTAGCAATGATCTTATATATAATATAACTCGGTGATGATGTAAAAATAGGCATACCAACTTTCGGTGCTAACTTTTCAAATTGCTCTTCTTGAACAATTTCTAAAATATCTTGGACACTATTTCTCGGTAAAAGTGACTAAAAATTGTGAAAATATAGTTCTAGTAATTACGAAATTAATGAAAAATATATATATATATATATAATAATATAAACAATTCTTTACCAGCAACTTTCGGTGTGTGGCTGCCAAATGCTTTGTGTCAATAATTCTAGAATGTCATTATTAATATTGTTTAATTAATCTATTTAATCTAATTAATCTAATTAATAATTTAGCAATATGTTGTAATAATGACGCTTACATATTGAACAATCCGTGTACGAGACTTTTCCATTCTTTCAATTTTTCTGGCAAATCTTGCCAAAATTGGTGAACAATCTGACAAATATCCAGGAGACAATTATGACCTACCAGAGGTTTTTTTGATTGCACCAACAACTCAAGAATAACTCGAAAATTTATACTAGCAGCTAGAGCCTGAATAAAAAAAATTTTCTTAGTTATTCATATACGAATTGATATTATTAATGATATTATTTGTCTAAAGTTTACTTCAGCTGCCTCGTTTTGAGAATATTTCTCTTTTTGTTCATCTGACAACTTTTCAAGCACTATGCATTTAGGCTTGCTCTCTGCAGAGAAAAGTCCACCGAACCTGCATATTGTACATCAATGATTTAAATATTTTAATATATAAAATAATATTTACACTAGATTAACGAATCAAAAAGCTTCAGACCTTGCCCTGATTTCCTGAAAGATTAGCCGTTTCTGGCTAATATGGGGGGTTGATATTTTTAGTTGTTTTTCATTAGTGCCTAACCACGCTTCGATTGAAGCACTATTTTTAATATATGACACCACAAGTCAGACTAAGTAAATTCATTCGTATAAAATCAAATATTTATTTCACAAATCTTAAGTATTGATATCGAACAAATTTTAACAAAATTATTAAAACTCACATAGCTTTATCCGCAAACACTTTAGTTTCATCATCCGGTGGACTGTCTAAGAGTATTAAACCTTTATTAGTTTATATTTAAAAAGCAACAATAATATTATAATATATACCGTTACCTGTCTGCCTCTGTGCAATATCAGCTCTTTTCTGTAAAAGCTTTGCTTCTTCCGTATGATTCAAATACGGTATTCCTATGTATAATTGGTATAATTGAAGAACGTATAATTAATCAATTAAACTAAAAATATATATATATAATCGGAGATAGCTAAATTAAAATTTTACCTTGAGATATCAACTTGTTAAAATCAAAACCACATTTCATCAAGAAATGTAAACTTGATCCACTGCACATGAAACAAATATCGTTGAAATCTCTTCTATCAGCATTAGCTGGAAAGATATAGAAATTAAAGGGGCGAGCAACAAAAGTATCTTCTTCTTCCGAGTATGTAAAGGTACATAAGCCAAATTGAATGATAAGAAACTAAAATAAATAGGAAAAAAAGTTGACAGGTTTATAAGTTTATACAGAACGCGACCATTATCACCAGATACGACGCGTTTAACTTGCCTTAGTAGCTGCTGCTCGAACCTTTAAATATCTTGAGCGAGGATCATCGAAGCTCTTAATTCGTTCAAGTTGTTCGCTAAGTCCTGTTATTTTTAGTATATAAAATAGAACAATTAATATATATTTTTCAAGCATTGCTGGAACTTTTCCTATCACACTTACCTGTTAATTCAGTATCTAGAGCTATAAAATCGGCCCCTTGAATAGCCTCTGTAATAGTTGGCAAAAGTTCGTGGAAATTATTTTTGAGAACGTCCATTGCATATAATGTTTTAAGTGGTTATTCTATAAACTTCTCGGAATGAACCATTTCGCAAAATTTTTTTTAAAGTGACGTTCTCACTAATGACATAAGTGACATATAACCGATCATGTTTAACCGATCATGTTTTAACCAATCATGCTACAACACGTCAAATAGTAGCATGAGCGAATATAAAGAACTTTTTAACTTAATTCACAACTCTAATCAGCAATGTATAATCTCCTTCAACGTGCTAATGCGATATTCGCCTTTTCGATGACAGTCACTTTTGGCGTCCTTGGCGCAATAGCATTAGTGACGCCATTTTTACCCTCTTCCCCCTCAGCTCAAATTAATATCAAAGATATACAAGTCATTTCATATGACTACATGTCTCAAGGCGAGAGTGAGTTTGCATTTGTGAAATTGAATCTCGATGCTGGTAAGTTTTTTAAAAAAATTCTTTATGTCTTGTGTTTCCTTACGTCTAACGTATATATTTTACTCGCGTCCCGCATATTCTTTTAAGACTTAACCTCTCTATTCAATTGGAACACGAAACAATTATTTGTCTCTGTCATTGCAGAATATGAAACTAGATCGCACGTACGTTAGATTTTGAAGTTAAAACTACTTTTTGTCAGATCAAATCAGATTTCAGAACGCGCATTTTAACAATATTAACATTATGTAGAATATTAACCAAGTGGTTTTATGGGATTCGATAATTCAATCAAAAGACGAAGCACGCATCAAAGTCTCGGATTTACATAATGAGTATAACTTTGTTGATATCACAACAAGCTTCCGGTAAGTCTGGTGTTTAATTAAAAAAAGATTTTTTTTTTTTTTTACATTAAAGTCTTAGATTGATTGAATTTTTCGTGTTCAAAGTCAGGTGAATGCATCGTATTCCTTATATTGGGATGTAATGCCATACGTGGGAATGTTAATGAATGGGCGAACAAGATCTAATCAAGTTATTAAGTTTCCTCCACGGTCAAATGAGTATAGATAACACTGCTAAATTATACTTGCCGACCAGATCCTAAGCTATTATAGTTTGGGTTGGTCTACACTCAAATTCCAAACTATATATATAATATCTTAGAAAAAAAAAACTTTGTTAATAATCTTTATTTAAAAAAAAAAGAAGGTATATATTCTCATATATAATATATAATATATTTTTTATAAAATGGTAATTGCTTTTTTTGAGTTTGGGATTTTGCCAGCAAGTATATACTAAATACGAGATTATAGAAATATAATTAATTCAAACCATATATTATAATGAAAAACTATCCCATTATAAAAAAAGTTTTTGTTTTGTATACATTGGAACTCGATTACATTTCGATGATTATACATGGTCACCTTTTTTCTAAACCGTTTATTGCGATGGATGGGTATATTATTCAGCGAGCTGTTTAATTGACTTCTTTTTTTTTTTTTTTGTGGTAATTTTTTTTTCTTTACAAGGGTTCAATTTACCCAGGAAATTGTGTAATATTCTATATAAAAAAAATCGAAGTCTATTTTATCTTAATTACAAAATTCAATCGAAAATGGTAAAAAGCATAATATTTTGTATTATATATAACAAAACTAAAATAATATTTTCCAAATTTATTGACTTTAAACAATTATATATTTATGTTTCAAATAAAGTTTTAAACCTAATTTAATATACACATAGGACATGTTCTAATGGCGAAATGTCTATGTGAATATTAAAAAATCACACCCTCATTCTCCGAACATATTATTATGTCGGATGGAGAGTACTAAAATTTTTTGGTATTAACGGATTAATTATAAATTTCAATCATGAAAAGTTGGAAATTGAGCTCTTAAGTTTAAAACACCATAGCTGATAGCAAAAGTCAAGGTTTAATATATAAGTATTACAATAAAATGTATTGCGGATAATAATTTAATTACTATTTTTTTCACCTATCGGTTTTTCTGATTGTGTGTATTTACCGATTTATGTGAGTTGAGCTTTCGTTTTTTTTTTTGAATCTTGTAAAGCGGCGAATTTTAGAGATTTAACATTACCACGTATGATACAAATCATTCAAAATTTTATTGAAAAAAAAATACTGTAAGTTATAATTTTGATTTCGCGGCCCCATGAGACAGTTATAACGATAAGGACAGATCTTAATTTATTTGATACTTCGCTTATTTTAAACAATACTTCAACAGTATTTCTACAATGATTTAGATAATTTCATATATGTTTATTAAGAAAAAGCAACAGTTAGTATTATCGTTATGCGTGCATTAAAATTTTAATAGCGATAGTCTCGATTTTTAATAAATAACACGTCACACAATTCGAAGTAAAACTTCTCTGCAGAATTATTTTTTCGCATCGATTTCGTTAGAACGAATATTACTTAATACTTTAAAAACTTTCTTAATAATTTTTATTTAAATAAATAGGATACATTTTATATAGAATATTTTACAAATATTGCAAGGACCATTTGTTATAGATACCGTTGGGGTGTTAAATGTACTATGTAGATCAAATTTGCTGGTGAAACTGGTGACTGTCTAAAATCTGATTGGCTACTACACTTAATAGCCAATCAGATTTTAGATAGTCACCAGTTTCACTAGCAACTTTAGTCTATGTCTATTCAAATTAAACAGTTAGTAATGAAGACCTAAACGTCGTAAAGCAGTCTGGTAAAACGTTTCAATATCTCTAATATATAATATAGTTATGCGTGGTCCAATAAACGGCCGTATATTTTTCTTCAAGGCAAACGTGCGTTAGTTTGGGATCTTTTTGGTATAACGAACGTTGATACCTCTCTAACGTTAATAATGCAGTAATGATATCTGTATTGATTTTTTTTATTAGTAAAACGTTTAAAAAGTGCATAAATAAGTTACCCAGGCAATTGATCTACATCAGCCAATAATACGCACACGACGCTATAGCAAGTGTATCAACCCTAGAGGATAAATACTACTTACACTGACTGCAGATCATGCATGGAGATTTGGTATACTGGCTGCAGATCATGCATGGGACCTAAAATAATCGATTTTCATTGGTGCAATCAAACGAACATTGCATAGACGTGCATTTACTTTGCTTAGAAATATGAGTCCTCGCTACGCTTCGGACAATAAAAAAATAAAATAAAATAAATTAGCTTCAGCAAACTCAAACTAAAGGGACTCGGCCGGTAATATGTATACAGTCGCAATAGTATCACTGCTTGCACATGACGATATAGCAAGTGTATCAACTTTAGAGGATAAATACTACTTACTAAAAAATAATTTCGACTCATAATAATGAATGACTACAGCAGAGACAGTGCCCAATCCAAAGTGAATTCCTCTCGCCTGTGATCAATCACAAATTAAATTATTTATGTTGGATTCAATTGTGATGGATATAATCCCTCACCAGGTGTAACATTAATGGTCTTGACTGTTAATAAATGACAGGCAATATTGGTATAGACAATTTTGGACAATTAAATAAATTAAAATTAATTATAATTTTATTAAGATAATCTATATTAATATCTAAGTAAAAAATATATATATATAGCCCCAAGTATTTAGCAGCAGGGGGGACTTTCTCACTATTCGGAAAATTACGGGTTTTGTCATAAGATTGTTGACCAATCAAAAACAAGTTTTATTAACACATGATCAAAACAGATAGATAATAGTTGAACTAAGCAGCCAATCAACGAGCATTATTCATATATGACAATTTCGTTCATAGTTTGAGTTCGAAATTAAATAACTCGCGTTGTAAAGGAATCAGACTATGCACCCACATTGTAATAGCAGCTTTACAATTTTAAAAAACTTATTTTAGAAAGTTTTAATAGCAAGTGTTACGCGTCCTTTAATTATTTTTCTTAAAAACCTCACGTAATTAATAAAACTATACTATCGTACATATTAAATGACTTCTATTATTTTGATATCTAAAAAAAGAAAGAAAAACAATGTTAAACTTTGCGAATTAAGCAGTACAATATACTTTTCTTACCTCTTACTATACGGTAAACAGTGCTTCAACTCTTAATAGATCTACCTTTGTAGCGTGATGCAAACTTGATGCAACTTGATGCTTTAACGAGACGTTCGCTACGAAGGTATTTTATTAGTAAAGTATAGTATGTTTAGTTTTTTTTTTTAAGTTCTCTTATACCCGAAAATTCTGGTTTTTACACTACTATCCTATATAAATACTTGTGTAACGTTGATCTCGGGAAAAACAGGGGTGAACGTCCCAAATTTGGGGAACGTCTAAAGCCGTGTCCAGTCACGTGTTTTTTGTTTTTAATTAATTTAAGGGTTAGTTTGGAGTTAGGGTCAGGGCATGTCTTATAGTAAAATTGTCTCCCCGACATTTTTTATTAATGCACC